AGGGTCTTTCTACATCAGCGCTGCCATGAGAAAATTGAGACAAATTTTGATCAGCATTTTAGTTTTCTTGCGAACCAGTAATGCAAAAGGCAGACTGGAAGAGGCCCGCGCCCTTTGTGCTGTCGTCTTGACATCCAAATCAGAGCCCTTGTTTGCGAACAAATGTTTCTTTGACACAGTCTCACACAGTTATTCAATACTTACTCTTTGACACATTTTGGCACAAGCTGACATAGTTAAATAGATGTATAGATAGAAAGATAGATGTCATACATCAACGTATTACGGATAGGTCCTCTTTATCGTATAGCCGTGGCAATTGCCATAACACAAAACAGAGATGCAGTCTACGTCGAGAGGACGCGGCAGGGTGGCCTGTCCCTTGACTCTGACCCCTGCAAGAAGCCAGTACTCTCGCAACTGAGTCGACCGAGAGGGGCTGGCCGGGCGCGAACCTGACTGCTATTGCAAAGCTATTACTTTTGCCCATTTTATTGCTGAAAAAGGGTATGAATATGAATGAATCTCATTTGTACTGCGAAGCCATCCATTCTCATTCATACTGTCTTCTATATTTGCCATATTTAACACTGTTCACCCATTAATGGTAACTTTCGCGATACGATATATATGTCTATTTATATATACATATGTATATGTGTGAGTGTGTGTATATCTATATATGTATGATATACCGATATGTCTATAAATTTATGAATGATCTGTGAGTCTTAAGAACAATATATTGCGTATAAGTATTCCTAAAAACTATTAACATACTTATGAGAAATATTCCCTCCCCACCTTCCTCTTTTTTGAGATTCTGTGCGCAACATTGTACTTTGTCAGCAACTTTCAAAGAATACTAAATGTATTCGACTGAAATGTTCGAGGAAATGGGAAATCCGAGGGTAAAGCCACTTATGATGTCTTTTCAAAAAAAGAAGTCTGACGTGAGCGACCATCGGACGCTGTGGCGCTAAATTCAGGATCTCCATTGTCGACTCGAGACAGTAGTATTAAACCATTTTTCGTGGGACTTGTTCGTCTCAGTATTGGGTTCATGACAAAGAAATGCTACTTGCATGGTCGAGGCTTTACTAGAGAAAAGGACATGAACGAGCTTCGTTCCATAAATACCCAAGAAAATAAATACAAGAATCGTAACACATATCGTGATGAGAATTATTCTTGGAATTTTTAACATCACTCACGTGAGTTTAGGAGAATATAAAATATGGAATGAACAGAAATAGCACGAAAGATTTAGTAGTCCTGACGTTCGTAGGGAAGAGGCACTGACGTGGGTGCCACGGGAAGGTGATCGCCCACGGGCTGGTAACCGCCCACGCCGGAGGTGAAGCTCAGCTTGATGGGGATTCCTTCGGGAGCGGTGTAGCTGGAGAAGGGACACAGGCATTTACAGATAGACACCAAAGCTTTGCCATACATATCGTTATCAGATTAAGCTTATCAAGGGACATGGTTCTTTGCGAAGCCTAAGGGACTCACCTCCATCCTCCCGAGGACTCCTGGCCATCAGCCTGCTTTCCGGCCTCGTTCCTGACGATGCCGTTTCCAGTCTCGAAGTCGAACGTGTACTCGCCGTAGGCGTTCTGTGTGCGGTCGTCCTTCAGGATCGGGATGGGCGTCTTGTAGCTGTCGGCGACGACCACGGCCACCAGGCAGGCAAGCTGTGTGGGGATTCAAGCATCAGAATCACACATATAGACACTTTTCATGAACTCCTTCCGTATGGGGATGGGGGACAGCCAATAAAAACTTTTTTTCTCAACAAATTTCCGTTTCGACACAATACACCGCTTTTTCAATCATGACCATAAATTTGTGTTCCAACAAAAGAAGCTAAAACACTCACAACAAGAAGACGTTGCATTGTGATGGCTGTGCAGTACAGTGTGCTCCTCCGAAACACACAGGTTGTTTATATACTGTAGATGGTCTAGAGAGGGCGGGGCTGTCTCGTTGTGGGCGGAGTTTCAGGGATTCAGCATAAATGAACGGTTAGAAAGTTTCTATCCCGAGTAAGTTAAAAAAAAAAAAAAAAAAAAAAAGTATATGTATCTACATATAAACACATACAACGCACATCTGAATATATGGTGCATTTTAGATATGTCCGTTTACATGTGTTTATGTATATGTCTTTATATGCGTATGCATTTATATACTCAGAAAAGGGTAGATACAGATATGAATATGTGTATATATGAATATATATACAAATATATTTAATTATGTGTGTATGTGTATATACATGCATATATGAATATATATACATACATATATAGTATATTTATTTTATTTTATTATTTATGTGTGTGTGTGTCTGAGTACATACACGTGTATATGTATATATACATATATGTATATGTATATACATACATATATGTATATATATACATATGTATATATATACATATATGTATATATATATATATATATACATATATGCATATATATATACATGTGTGTATATATACACAAAGATGTGTATGCGTGTATGCACTGTATATAAATATATGTGTATATGTATATATGAATATATATATTACTCGCGTTTATTCAGATATGAAGCTTTGTTCATGCACATATACAGTGTCTCTGCTCCATATAGGTGTCTTATTTTTGCTTTTCATTGTATCGAATATCCTATATGCATATGAGCATGTATGTATATGTATATACATTATATATATATATATATACGTGTGCGTATACTTATATATACTCATATATATATGTGTATGTGTTTATATATGTATGTGTATATATACATCTATATGTGTATGTGTGTATATATGTATTACACGTAAACACACACACACATATATATGCATGTATATATATATATAAACACACACGTCTGTGTCTGTGTGTGATAATTTCCCATGTCCCTTATACAGTTTATCAAATTTCCTGCTTATTAGCAACTCCCATTTCCCGAATATACCGTAATGCGGTAGCATATGCATCACTGACTGATGCACGTCAAATACAGAGAAAATAGATTATTACCAAAAATATTTCGTGCCATTGCTTGTTCTGGTGGCGATAATCCCACCTGCGGAACACTGACCAATATTGCTGTTACTTATGTAATGCAAGTCTGAAAGAATGGGGCAAGTAGATACCCTGCAATTGCAGACTTACACACGTGCATTGGAAGAATAAAAACATTGGGGCATATACACTAATATTTTCTTATCATTTGACTGCCTCATATGTATTATATATATCCCGAGCAAAAAAAAACTATGTTAAAATGACAATAATAAGAAAAATTCTTCAAAATGCAACGCCTTTTACCAATCAAATTATTTACTTATGCGTCCGTCATGAGAAGGAAATTTGCTTGAAATTGACTGTTCGCCTGGAAAATGTTTGTTGCTTTATAGTGAATTAATTGCAGTAGTGAATGGCCAGTCTTTCCTTCGTCAGATCATCAGCTTTATAAAGGACGTCACGCTGGCTATATTAGGATCTCGACCGGGTGAGTGCACTGCCTCGAGGGATACCCACTTGCCCAGGGAATGATTCGCCAGCCTTCGTCTGGACGCTGACGCTTTTTTTTTATGGAAGGGGGGTTGGATTCACTGTGGATTTTCATTGGCCATTTCTAATTTCATTCCACAAGGAATCAATCATTGACAAATATGCATATTACTTGTCATACATCTTCACGAAAGAGATTGCCCCATAAACATTCACAAACTGCCACCATCGTGCTGTTGCTGAGGTCAGCTCAGTTTCATGATCACTAAAGGGTCATTCTACATCAGCGCTGCCATGAGAATATTGAGACAAATTTTGATCAGCATTTTAGTGTTGGTTACTTTTGCGGCCCAGTAATTGTTTTATACTGATCTCGTTTGCGAACATGTTTCTTGCGTTTCACTGCGCCATTTGACACATTCTCACACAGTTTTTGATATTTACTCTTTGAGACGTTTTGGCACTAGCTAATACATTCTGGTACCGTTGGTATATATGGATGTAAATACATAGTTAAATAGATGTATAGATAGAAAGAGAGGTGTCACACATCAACACATTACGGATAGGTCCTCTTTATCGAATAGCCATGGCAATTGCTATAACAAAATGTAGATGCAGTCTACGGCGAGAGGACGCGGTAGGGCGGCCTGTTCCTTTACAACCCGACTCTGACCCTGCAAGAAGCCAGTACTCTCGCAGTTGAGTCGACCTAGAGGGGCTGGCCGGGCGCGAACCTGACTGCTATGGCAAGGCTATTACTTTTGCCTATTTTATTGCTGAAAAGGGTATCAATGTGAATGAATCTCGTTTGCACTGTGAAGCCATTCATTCTCATTCATACTGCATTCTATATTTGCCATAATTAACACTATTCACCCTTTTATGGAAACTTTCGCAAAAGGGAAATACGTGTGAGTGCGTGTAGATCTATATGTGTATAATATACAGATGTCTATGAATTTATGAATGATTTGTGAAAGCCTCAAGAACAATATATTGCATATAGTTATTCCCCAAAACTGTTAACATACTTTATGAGAAATATTCCCTCCCCACCTTCCTCTTTTTTGAGATTCTGTGCGCAACACTGTACTTTGTCAGCAACTTTCAAAGGCTACTAAATGTATTCGACTGAAATGTTCGAGGAAATGGGAAATCCGAGGGTAAAGTCGCTTATGATGTCTTTTCAGAAAAAGAAGTCTGACGTGAGCGACCATCGGACGCTGTGGCGCTAAATTCAGGATCTCCATTGTCGACTTGAGACAGTAGTATTAAACCATTTTTCGTGGGACTTGTTCGTCTCAGCATTGGGTTCATGACAAAGAAATGCTACTTGCATGGTCGAGGCTTTACTGGAGAAAAGGACATGAACGAGTTTCGTTCAATAAATACCCAAGAAAATAAATACAAGAATCGTAACACATCGTGAGCAGAATTACTCATGGAATGTATCAAATCACTCACGTGAATTTAGGAGAATATAAAATATGGAATGAACAGAGAAAGCACGAAAGATTTAGTAGTCCTGACGTTCGTAGGGAAGAGGCACTGACGTTGGTGCCACGGGAAGGTGATCGCCCACGGGCTGGTAACCGCCCACGCCGGAGGTGAAGCTCAGCTTGATAGGGATGCCTTCGGGAGCGGTGTAGCTGGAGAAGGGACACAGGCATTTACAGATAGTCACCAAAGCTTTGCCATATACTTCGTTATCAGATTAAGCTTATCAAGAGACATGGTTCTTTGCGAAGCCTAAGGGACTCACCTCCATCCTCCCGAGGACTCCTGGCCATCAGCCTGCTTTCCGGCCTCGTTCCTGACGATGCCGTTTCCAGTCTCGAAGTCGAACGTGTACTCGCCGTAGGCGTTCTGTGTGCGGTCGTCCTTCAGGATCGGGATGGGCGTCTTGTAGCTGTCGGCGACGACCACGGCCACCAGGCAGGCGAGCTGTGTGGGGATTCAAGCATCAGAATCACACATATAAAGACTTTTTATAAATTCATCCTTACTGAGGACAGACAATAAAAAACTTTTTTTCTGAACAATTTTCCGTTTCGACACAATACACCGTTTTTCCAGTTATGACCATAAATTTGTGTTCCAACAAAAGCTAAAACGCTCACAACAAGAAGACGTTGCATTGTGATGGCTGTGCAGTACAGTGTGCTCATCCGAAAGGCGGCGGCTCTTTATATACACGGTCCACGGTGGGCGGAGCTGTATGACTGTGGGCGGACCTCGACCGTTTCGTCAGGCAATGAAAGTACGACCTTGAATAACTACATATAGAAAATATGAATACATACACCATACCGGGCTCCCCTCATGGGCATGGCCCGGGCGGGGCTGTGCCTCGCAAATCAGACAAAAAAAAAAAAGAAAAAACATACCTTGTGGATATATTTACATGCAAACATTGCATGTGTGTGTGTGTGTAGATGTAAACCCATATATGTAAACATATGTGTATGTAGATACGTAGTTGTGTTTGTGTATGCATGTATGCATATACATGTGTATTTATATTCATTTATATAGATATGTGTGTATGTGTGCGTATATATATACATATATGATATATATGATACATATGTGTATGTATATACAAATATATGTACGCATAAACATATATGCGTGTGTGTGTATATGTATAACGTGTATATACATATATTGTAGTAGGAATATTTGCTCACTCCTTGTCCTAACCCCCCCCCCTTTGCAATGACGAGTCCATGGCACGAGTCAGATTTAATGAACCCACTGGAAAAAGGGCACGAGAACTAACATCAGTAGTCTCATGAATTTTATTATCCTTTCATGTATCACGTATTTTTAGAAACATCAGTTATTCGGGGTGCTACCCGTAAGTATTGTGCGCAAGCGCACTTGGGCTTAGCTACGTACATGTTAAAAGACCTTTATTGTTACTCTCATGCCCTGTAATTTATGTGAGGACACTATCTTACTGGGAGGATAGTGTCACATATAATGAGTTGTAATTAATAGTCCAGTTTTAGCAACATAACTGGATGGCGTCTCTTGTGACGTCATGCTAGTGATTTGCCATGTCATCATTAGTGACGTCATAAACCGTGACAATGCAGCCACTCACATGGATACCCACATGGATATCCATGTTGACGAGACAGAAGCCAATACCCTGGCTAGAAGGCGAAGATACCCGCAGATCTGGTCTCGCCTCCTTACCGCTCGGAACCTGCTGCTTTTTATCCCACAACGTCAGGTACGGTTTGTATGTGGTTTACCTGGAACTCACCAATGTATATATTTGAAGCTTAGTGACTGGTGCAAGGGTGGTGAATATGCAAACTAGGTGCTAAGGTAAGGATAAGTTCGATATGCAAAGCTGAGCCTCTCCCGGGCCATGAGGGAAGCCCGGCCTGTGTCGACTAATGTGGACACGCTAACAGTGTGTCAGCTGGTGCTGACTCGGCTTTTGTCCTTACCCGCCGTGGTGCCCAGCCACAGGCGCTTAGACTAAAATAAACAAGCAGTATAGTGTAGTGGTGTTCATTTTCCCTGGCTAATTGGTGATGACAAAAGTTCAACGTAATATACTGGTAGATATAAAGTACTCATTAATGGCTTAATTTAATTACCTATGTACATGTATTATTGAAGGTATAATGAAGTATAACTCACATCAGATTCTATGAAGAATAGGGAAAGTGCAGATCAGGCCACCAAGGGACACTGACTGAACTGCCCCTGTATCAGGCATAACGTAGTAGTATTGCGTTACTGTTACCATACAATACTGTGTATATATATAGAGAGATCTGTAATTGAGTACTAACATATGCATGTTAGGGTTAAAGTCGGGTCAGAAAAGAACTGCCCACCCCCCTGCCGCATTATCTCATGATTTTGAATGCAAGTTCCTCTACGAACAGACAGATATGTAGATTGATTTATATATAGCGCTCTATATCTACCTACACACTAAGGATATTATGGTGTCGACAAACGGTAAATTTGCACGATGACTTCACAATATACTGATAGTGTGAAGCATAAAGGTAATGGGTATATAAGAACATAACAGATATAGATGTCAACCTTTTATTGAGCGAATCTGGTGTGAACGAATTTCGTTCAATAAATAATAAAAGATAGATATGTTATAGATCATTTCATATTCGCATCGATATTAGGAAAGCAGGAGAGTTCAGTAGTCGTTGCGTTCGTAGGGAAGAGGCACTGGCGTGGGTGCCACGGGAAGGTGATCGCCCACGGGCTGGTAACCGCCCACGCCGGAGGTGAAGCTCAGCTTGATGGGGACGCCTTCGGGAGCGGTGTAGCTGGAGAAGGGACACAGGCATTTACATATAGACACCAAAGCTTTGCCATACACTTCGTTATCAGATTAAGCTTATCAAGGAACATGGTTCTTTGCGAAGCCTAAGGGACTCACCTCCATCCTCCCGAGGACTCCTGGCCATCAGCCTGCTTTCCGGCCTCGTTCCTGACGATGCCGTTTCCAGTCTCGAAGTCGAACGTGTACTCGCCATAAGCGTTCTGTGTGCGGTCATCCTTCAGGATCGGGATGGGCGTCTTGTAGCTGTCGGCGACGACCACGGCCACCAGGCAGGCGAGCTGTGTGGGGATTCAAGCATCAGAATCACATATAAAGACTGTTCATGGATTCCTTCCTTATGAAGGACATTCAATAAAAACTTTTTTTCCTCAAGTTTCCGTTTCGACACAATACACCATTTTTTCCAGTCATGACCATAAATTTGTGTTCCAACAAAAGAAGCTAAAACACTCACAACAAGAAGACGTTGCATTGTGATGGCTGTGCAGTACAGTGTGCTCATCCGAAACACACACACTTTATATAGATGGTCTACAGTGGGCGGAGTTGTCTCGTTGTGGGCGGAGTTTCAGGGATTCAGCATAAATGAACGGTTAGAAAGTTTCTATCCTGAGTAAGTTCAAAATATATGTATCACCATTTAAACACATACACACACATCTGAATATATGGTACATTTACAGATACGTCTGTTTGCATGTAAGTGTTTATGTATGTCTGCATATGCGCATGCATTTATAAACTTAGAGATGGACAGATATAGATATAAATATGTACGCATATACATTCAGTCTGGGCGCACACCGTGTATATACACATGTATTTTTACTTATGTATATATACATATATATGTGTGTGTGTATACACACACACATGTGTATATATATGTATATATGTATATATATATATGTAGATGGGTGTGTGTTTATTCATATATATACATATATATCTATATTGTGTGTACGTGTATACATACATATATAGATATATATATACATAGATATACAATATATATTTATATACATATGTATGTGTGTGTGCATATATGTGTATGTGTATATGTATGCATATATGTGTATGCACTATATATAAATATATATGTATAGGTATATATGGATATATACATTACTCGTGTATATCCATATATGCAACTTTATTCATGTATATGTACAGTATGTGTCTGCTCCATATGAGTGTCTTATAGTTGCTAATTTTCATTGTATTGAATATCCTATAAGCATGTATGTTTGTATATGTATATACATGTCTTTGTATATGTATTTATATATATACGTTTGCATATATACCTATATGTACTCGTAAATATATATGTATATATATGTGTGTGTGTATATGTGTAAATATATATATACATATATATGTATACGTGTATGTGTATATATATATATATGTGTGTATATATATCACACGCAAACACAGATACACACACACACACATATATATACAGTATATATATACACTCACGCACACACACACACACATATATGTATGTATATATACGCATGTGTACATTTATTTATTTATAAACACACACGTGTGTGTGTGTGTGTTAACTTTCCATATGCCTTATACAGTTTACTAGAATTCCTGCTTATTAGCAACTCCCATTCCCCGAATATTCTGTCATGCGATAGCATATGCAAAATGCAAAATAAACATTACCAGAAACATCCATGATTTTATTGCCTGTGCTCGTGGCAATAATCCCACCTGTGCAACATTAACCAATATTGCTGTTACTTATCAGTAATATAATGAAAGAATGTGGCAAGTCGCTTCCCTGAAATTGCACACTTGCATACGTGCATTGGTAGAATAAAAACTCTGGGGCATATGCACTAATATTCTTTTATTACTGGACTGTCTTACATGAATTATATATATATCTCCAACGAAATATATTTGTATTATGTTAAAATGATAATGATAAGAATGATTCTTCAAAATGTAACACCTTTTACCAATCAAATTATTTGATTATACATCACGGGAAGGAAAATTACTTGAAATTGACTATTTGCCTGGAAAATGTTTGTGCTTTGTAGTGAATAGAGGGCAGTAGTAGAAAAAAAACATTTTTTTACCACAAACCTACATGTTAGGTTTACACACGATTGCATTACCTATGAGAACAAAGCCCTTTTTATCCTTTTCAGCATCTGTTTCCAAGCAGCCTAAAGCATGGCCAGTCCCTCCTTCGTCAGAACATCAGCTTTATAGAGAACGTCACACCGGCCATCCTGAGACCTCGACCAGGTGGGAGCGCTGACTCGCGAGGGACCCATTTGCCTAAGGAATGATTCGACAGCCTTAGTTTGGACTCACGTTTTGGTAGAGTTTTGTCTGGCCATTTCTAATTTTATTCCACAAGGAATGAATTATCGGCAAACATACAGAATATTTGCCATACATCTTCATGAAAGAAGAGATTGCCCCATAAACAGCCACCATCCGTGCTGTTGCTGAGGTCAGCTCAGTTTCATGATCACTGAAGGGTCTTTCAACATCAGCGCTGCCATGAGAAAATTGAGACAAATTTTGATCAGCATTTTAGTTTTATTGCGAACCAGTAATGCAAAAGGCAGACTGGAAGAGGCCCGCGCTCTTTGTGCTGTCGTCTTGACATCCAAATCAGAGCCCTTGTTTGCGAACAAATGTTTCTTTGACACATTCTCACACAGTTATTCAATACTTACTCTCTGACACATTTTGGCACAAGCTGACACACTGGTACCGTTGGTATATATGGATGTAGATACATAGTTAAATAGATGTATAGATTGAAAGATAGATGTCATACATCAACATATTACGGATAGGTCCTCTTTATCGTATAGCCATGGCAATTGCCATAACACAAAATAGAGATGAAGGGTGGCCTGTTCCTTGACTCTGACCCCTGCATGAAGCCAGTACTCTCGCAGCTGATTCGACCGAGAGGGGCTGGCCGGGCGCGAACCTGACTGTTATTGCAAAGCTATTACTTTTGCCCATTTTATTGCTGAAAAGGGTATGAATGTGAATGAATCTCATTTGCACTGTGAGGCCATCCATTCTCATTCATACTGTCTTCTATATTTGCCATAATTAACACTGTTCACCCATTAATGGTAACTTTCCCGATACGATATATATGTCTATTTATATATACATATGCATATGTGTGAGTGCGTGTAGATCTATGTGTATGATATACCGATATGTCTATAAATTTATGAATGATCTGTGAAAGTCTTAAGAACAATATATTACGTACAATTATTCCCCAAAACTGTTAACATACTTTATGAGAAATATTCCCTCCCCACCTTCCTCATTTTTGAGATTCTGTGCGCAACATTGTACTTTGTCAGCAACTTTCAAAGACTACTAAATGTATTAGACTGAAATGTTCGAGAAAATGGGAAATCTGAGGGTAAAGCCACTTGTGATGTCTTTTCAAAAAAAGTCTGACGTGAGCGACCATCGGACGCTGTGGCGCTAAATTCAGGATCTCCATTGTCGACTTGAGACAGTAGCATTAAACCATTTTGCGCGAGACTTGTTCATCTCAGTATTGGGTAAGTAAGTCCGATATGCGAAGCTGAGCCTCGCCCGGGCTATGGGGGAGCCCGGCCTGTGCCGACTAATGTCGACTCGCTAACAGTGTGTCACAGCAGGTGCTGACTCGGATGAGCTTAGTCCTTACCCAGCCACAGCAGTAACCTCCAGGCGACAATTGCAACTTCTCGCGCCTGGGCGGGGCGCGAACCGCCGACCCCTCGGATGAGAGGCCGACACGTTACCACTGTACTAGCCCGGAGGCTGCAGTATTGGGTGCATGACAAAGAAATGCTACTTGCATGGTCGAGGCTTTACTGGAGAAAAGGACATGAACGAGTGTCGTTCCATAAATACCCAAGAAAATATATACAAGAATCGTAACACATCGTGATGAGAATTATTCATGGAATTTATCACATCACTCACGTGAATTTAGGAGAATATAATAAATGGAATGAACAGAGAAAGCACGAAAGATTTAGTAGTCCTGACGTTCGTAGGGAAGAGGCACTGACGTGGGTGCCACGGGAAGGTGATCGCCCACGGGCTGGTAACCGCCCACGCCGGAGGTGAAGCTCAGCTTGATGGGGATTCCTTCGGGAGCGGTGTAGCTGGAGAAGGGACACAGGCATTTACATATAGACACCAAAGCTTTGCCACACACAACGTTATCAGATTAAGCTTATCAAGGGACATGGTTCTTTGCGAAGCCTAAGGGACTCACCTCCATCCTCCCGAGGACTCCTGGCCATCAGCCTGCTTTCCGGCCTCGTTCCTGACGATGCCGTTTCCAGTCTCGAAGTCGAACGTGTACTCGCCGTAGGCGTTCTGTGTCCGGTCGTCCTTCAGGATCGGGATGGGCGTCTTGTAGCTGTCGGCGACGACCACGGCCACCAGGCAGGCGAGCTGTGTGGGGATTCAAGCATCAGAATCACTCATATAAAGACTTTTATGGATTCCTTCCTTAGTGAGGACAGCCAATAAAAACTTTTTTCTGACAAGTTTCCGTTTCGACACAAAACACCGTTTTTCCAGTCATGACCATAAATTGTGTTTCAACAAAAGAAGCTAAAACACTCACAACAAGAAGACGTTGCATTGTGATGGCTGTGCAGTACAGTGTGCTCATCCGAAACACACACACACTTTATATAGATGGCCTACAGTGGGCGGAGCTGTCTCGTTGTGGGCGGAGTTTCAGGGATTCAACATAAATGAACGGTTAGAAAGTTTCTATCCTGAGTAAATTGAAAAATATATGTATCAACATATAAACACACACACACACATCTAAATATATGTTATATTTACAGATACGTCCGTTTCCATGTAAGCGTTTATGTATATGTATGCATATGCGCATGCATTTGTATACATAGAGAAGGACAAATATAAATATAAATATGTACGCATATACATTCAGTCTGGGCGCCCCTCGTGTATACACACATGTATTTTTACTTATGTATATATACATATATGTGTGTAAGTATACACACACATATATATGTATATATATATATGTGTGTGTGTGGATGGATGTGTATATGTTCTTATATATACATATATATCTATATTGTGTGTATGTGTATACATACATATATAAATATATATACATAGATATACAATATATCTATATACATATGTATGCGTGTGTGCATACATGTGCATGTGTATATGTCTGCATATATGTGTATGCACTATATATAAATATATATGTATAGGTATATATGGATATATACATTACTCGTGTATATCCATATATGCAACTTTATTCATGTATATGTACAGTATGTGTCTGCTCCATATGAGTGTCTCATAGTTGCTGGTTTTCATTGTATTGAATATCCTATATGCATGTATGTTTGTATATGTATATACATGTCTATGTATGTGTATATATATACGTTTGCATATATACCTTTATGTACTCGTAAATATATATATATATAAATATATATATATATCTATATGTATACGTGTATGTGTATATATAGATGTGTATATATAAACATGTATATGTGTGTATATATATATTACACGCAAACACAGATACACACACACATACATATATTTACAGTATATATACACTCACGCACATACACACATACATATATGTATGTATATATACGCATGTGTACATTTATTTATTTATAAACACACACGTGTGTGTGTGTGTGTTAACTTTCCATATGCCTTATACAGTTTACTAGAATTCCTGCTTATTAGCAACTCCCATTCCCCGAATATTCTGTCATGCGATAGCATATGCAAAATGCAAAATAAACATTACCAGAAACATCCATGATTTTATTGCCTGTGCTCGTGGCAATAATCCCACCTGTGCAACATTAACCAATATTGCTGTTACTTATCAGTAATATAATGAAAGAATGTGGCAAGTCGCTTCCCTGAAATTGCACACTTGCATACGTGCATTGGTAGAATAAAACTCTGGGGCATATGCACTAATATTCTTTTATTACTGGACTGTCTTACATGAATTATATATATATCTCCAACGAAATATATTTGTATTATGTTAAAATGATAATGATAAGAATGATTCTTCAAAATGTAACACCTTTTACCAATCAAATTATTTGATTATACATCACGGGAAGGAAAATTACTTGAAATTGACTATTTGCCTGGAAAATGTTTGTGCTTTGTAGTGAATAGAGGGCAGTAGTAGAAAAAAAACATTTTTTACCACAAACCTACATGTTAGGTTTACACACGATTGCATTACCTATGAGAACAAAGCCCTTTTTATCCTTTCAGCATCTGTTTCCAAGCAGCCTAAAGCATGGCCAGTCCCTCCTTCGTCAGAACATCAGCTTTATAGAGAACGTCACACCGGCCATCCTGAGACCTCGACCAGGTGGGAGCGCTGACTCGCGAGGGACCCATTTGCCTAAGGAATGATTCGACAGCCTTAGTTTGGACTCACGTTTTGGTAGAGTTTTGTCTGGCCATTTCTAATTTTATTCCACAAGGAATGAATTATCGGCAAACATACAGAATATTTGCCATACATCTTCATGAAAGAAGAGATTGCCCCATAAACAGCCACCATCCGTGCTGTTGCTGAGGTCAGCTCAGTTTCATGATCACTGAAGGGTCTTTCAACATCAGCGCTGCCATGAGAAAATTGAGACAAATTTTGATCAGCATTTTAGTTTTATTGCGAACCAGTAATGCAAAAGGCAGACTGGAAGAGGCCCGCGCTCTTTGTGCTGTCGTCTTGACATCCAAATCAGAGCCCTTGTTTGCGAACAAATGTTTCTTTGACACATTCTCACACAGTTATTCAATACTTACTCTCTGACACATTTTGGCACAAGCTGACACACTGGTACCGTTGGTATATATGGATGTAGATACATAGTTAAATAGATGTATAGATTGAAAGATAGATGTCATACATCAACATATTACGGATAGGTCCTCTTTATCGTATAGCCATGGCAATTGCCATAACACAAAATAGAGATGAAGGGTGGCCTGTTCCTTGACTCTGACCCCTGCATGAAGCCAGTACTCTCGCAGCTGATTCGACCGAGAGGGGCTGGCCGGGCGCGAACCTGACTGTTATTGCAAAGCTATTACTTTTGCCCATTTTATTGCTGAAAAGGGTATGAATGTGAATGAATCTCATTTGCACTGTGAGGCCATCCATTCTCATTCATACTGTCTTCTATATTTGCCATAATTAACACTGTTCACCCATTAATGGTAACTTTCCCGATACGATATATATGTCTATTTATATATACATATGCATATGTGTGAGTGCGTGTAGATCTATGTGTATGATATACCGATATGTCTATAAATTTATGAATGATCTGTGAAAGTCTTAAGAACAATATATTACGTACAATTATTCCCCAAAACTGTTAACATACTTTATGAGAAATATTCCCTCCCCACCTTCCTCATTTTTGAGATTCTGTGCGCAACATTGTACTTTGTCAGCAACTTTCAAAGACTACTAAATGTATTAGACTGAAATGTTCGAGAAAATGGGAAATCTGAGGGTAAAGCCACTTGTGATGTCTTTTCAAAAAAAGTCTGACGTGAGCGACCATCGGACGCTGTGGCGCTAAATTCAGGATCTCCATTGTCGACTTGAGACAGTAGCATTAAACCATTTTGCGCGAGACTTGTTCATCTCAGTATTGGGTAAGTAAGTCCGATATGCGAAGCTGAGCCTCGCCCGGGCTATGGGGGAGCCCGGCCTGTGCCGACTAATGTCGACTCGCTAACAGTGTGTCACAGCAGGTGCTGACTCGGATGAGCTTAGTCCTTACCCAGCCACAGCAGTAACCTCCAGGCGACAATTGCAACTTCTCGCGCCTGGGCGGGGCGCGAACCGCCGACCCCTCGGATGAGAGGCCGACACGTTACCACTGTACTAGCCCGGAGGCTGCAGTATTGGGTGCATGACAAAGAAATGCTACTTGCATGGTCGAGGCTTTACTGGAGAAAAGGACATGAACGAGTGTCGTTCCATAAATACCCAAGAAAATATATACAAGAATCGTAACACATCGTGATGAGAATTATTCATGGAATTTATCACATCACTCACGTGAATTTAGGAGAATATAATAAATGGAATGAACAGAGAAAGCACGAAAGATTTAGTAGTCCTGACGTTCGTAGGGAAGAGGCACTGACGTGGGTGCCACGGGAAGGTGATCGCCCACGGGCTGGTAACCGCCCACGCCGGAGGTGAAGCTCAGCTTGATGGGGATTCCTTCGGGAGCGGTGTAGCTGGAGAAGGGACACAGGCATTTACATATAGACACCAAAGCTTTGCCACACACAACGTTATCAGATTAAGCTTATCAAGGGACATGGTTCTTTGCGAAGCCTAAGGGACTCACCTCCATCCTCCCGAGGACTCCTGGCCATCAGCCTGCTTTCCGGCCTCGTTCCTGACGATGCCGTTTCCAGTCTCGAAGTCGAACGTGTACTCGCCGTAGGCGTTCTGTGTCCGGTCGTCCTTCAGGATCGGGATGGGCGTCTTGTAGCTGTCGGCGACGACCACGGCCACCAGGCAGGCGAGCTGTGTGGGGATTCAAGCATCAGAATCACTCATATAAAGACTTTTTATGGATTCCTTCCTTAGTGAGGACAGCCAATAAAAAACTTTTTTCTGAACAAGTTTCCGTTTCGACACAAAACACCGTTTTTCCAGTCATGACCATAAATGTGTTCCAACAAAAGAAGCTAAAACGCTCACAACAAGGAGACGTTGCATTGTGATGGCTGTGCAGTACAGTGTGCTCATCTGAGAGGCGGCGGCTCTTTATATACACGGTCCACAGTGGGCGGAGCTGTATGACTGTGGGCGGAACTCGACCGTTTCGTCAGGCAATGAAAGTATTACCTTGAATAACTACATATATGGAAAATATGAATACATACACCTTGTGGATATATTTACATGCAAACATTGCATGTGTGTGTGTGTGTGTACATGTAAACCCATATATGTAAACATATGTGTATGTAGATGCGTAGTTGCATTTGTGTATGCATGTATACATATACATGTGTATTTATATTCGCACATAGGTATGTGTGTGTGCGTATATATATATATGATATATATATATAATACATATATGTATGTATATACAAATGTATGTACACATAAACATATGCGTGTGTATGTATAATATGTATATACATATATTGCAGTAGGACTATTCGCCTTCTACTTATTATCCTTTCATGTATCACGTATTTTTAGAAACATCAGTTATACTTCTCCCTCATGGTCTCGTGGTGGAAATGCGGGGCGCCTCCCGTAGGTATTGTGCGCAAGCGCACGTGGGCTTAGCTACGTATATGTTAAAGGACAGTTATTATTACTCTCTTGCCTTGTAATTTATGTGAGGACACTATCTTACTAAGAGGATAGTGTCACATATAATGAGTTGTAATTAATAACCTAGTTTTAGCAACAGCTGGATGGCGTCACTAGTGACGGCATGCTAGTGATTTGCCATGTCATCATTTGTGACGTCATAAACCGTGACAGTGCAGCCACTCACATGGATACCCACATGGATATTCATGTTGACGAGACAGTAGCCAATACCCTAGCTAGAA